CTTCTGATTGGGCATGCATCGCAGTGATGGATTCTTCAAATTGCAACTTGAAAAGCTTGCTTTTCTGAAGAAATTTGCAAATCGGGTGTCAGTCAAATGCCTGCATCCTTTCGTTTGCCTCACCCTTTCAACAACAGCCTACTGAGTTTACCAGCAAAAAACTGATTGCTGTCCAACACGCACAGTTCTGTTCACTTCATCACTTCGTTTGAAATTTCTCCACCCCATGCTCAACCACCGTTCAATCCGCCCTTCACCCGGGCCCCCAACCAAGTGCCACGCCCCCCACCAAACCACCTCGAAACCCTTCAGCCCTTCCTTCAACCCTGCCCAGAACCCCGCGAACTCCCACCGAACCCCCGCGCCCCGGAACTCCCGGAACTTGAGCGCTTCCCCCGCCGAGGCGCCAACGCGGTGTTGATGGCCGTCGAAGCGGACCTGGGCCTTCTGGGCCCCACGGGGCCCACCTGGTCAGGCTGGAGCGAGACGAGCGGCGCGGAGCGCGGGTGGAGGAAGGGGTCGTTGGGGGAGAGAATTCAAAGAGGAGAAAGGAGGTTGTCCTTAAAGTTTGTTGAGTCTTTTTTGTGCCTACAGGGGTTCCCTTCCTGCAAGGGTCATGTTCTGTTGAAGTGAGTAATTACGTTGTCACCTTAAAAGAGGGGCACGGGAGTAGTCATGTCGTTCTTTTTGGCTGGCACAGATGGCACAGCGTTTGCGAAGATAGTCGAAGTGTGCCTCGTGACGAGGGCGCTTCTTTTTGAAGAGGATATAGTGGCCTGATGTGAAGGGACAGAGACCGGGAAGGAGGTCTCAGGATTGGTTTGAGGAGGAGGCTATTGTGGTCTCATGTGACGGTTGCGTAATCGGGTTGTGCATTTTGAACAGATATCCTGAGATACTCAGGACACACATCCTGACATATCCTGAGATGACATACCATTAGAGAGAGAGAGAGAGTGAGAGCGCTGGTCATTTGCACAAGTGCTTTGAACACCATAGAATGTTCTCCAATCTCCGAATTGATGGGATTGACTCGACGGTCAAGTAGATAGATGAGCACGAGGGGTACATGCGGGCAAGTCCACGTTCCCTCACTGTCCTATTTGCATTGTTGTTTCGATCCTTTTCGCTCGCAAGCCTTGTTTCTAGATCGAAGCTTTGACCAGCTTTGACCCATGACCCATGACTCTTCCTGCAAGTGGTTGAATCTCCCCTCCAGTACCCATAGAATCCCGTAGAATCATATATAGAATCCCATAGGGAGCCGTTGACCATGCTGTTTCTTTTGCTTCTTTTCCTACATTTTCCTACCCAGCCAGCCTAGGAAAAGTGGATAGCATCCTTTGAAGGGATTGGTTTCCCCATGATTTCCCCACTCCAATCGAACAGAATTGGGAAAAAACACAAGTCACTCCCTGTCTCTTCCACGGAAGCCGCGGACAGTCCAGCGCCAGACACGGACAGTCCAGTCGTACCGCAGGCTTGGAGACCGACCTGGACAGCGCCCACGCGGTGAGGAAGATCCAACATGGCCTGGAGTCGGAGATCAAGTATGGCATCAATCAAGACCAAGTCCTCAAGGACCGCGGCGCGGCGCAGCGAACGGAAGCGAACTGAAGCGAAGCCTCCCGACAAGAGCACGTCGGGGGGAGAGGGGAAGTAGCGGCAGGGCGCATGGCCTAAGTCCGAAGCGTCGCGGAGGTTGCGACAGAAAAGAAGAAGCGCCGTGATGCATCGGTGGTGCACGGAAGGATACGGAAGGGTTTCCACGCCGAGGTGTTCGTTTCATACCGATGAACCAAACGCAGGGGAGGGCCCGGCACGTGTGTGAGTGAAATTTTCAGAGGGAGTCGTGACGGGTAGTGTGTATTAGGTATAACTCCCATACACTCCATGGGACTGCCATAGGACTGCCGTCCTAGTGGCACCCCCCCAACTGATCGGCGGTCCTATGGCAGCCCCATGGGTCGCGTCTGGGACTTAAGACCGTAGGAGTTTCTTTTCCACAAGACTGTAGGGTGCTTGATCGATCGTAGGGATCCCTACGGTGCACCGTTTGGCTGGAAGTCAGTCACCGTCTGCAGCGTCCGTATGTGGATCGACAAGACACACCTTGATCAGTACCTTGATCTTGTAGGTTCGTTTTTCTTTCATATTTCTTTCATGTCCCAACAGTTTTGTTTCTACCTAGACCCTCCAAGTATCTCAGAAAATGGGTACCAGGGTCATGCCCCAAAACCTATAGTGTCTAGAAGCAACGATATTGACTATATATGGCAGTGGGTCAAAACCTAGAGCCCGTTTCACCCTGGTAGGTTGACCTGCTTAGTAGTCTCTTCTGTTCATTTTGGGTGGTCAACCAGTGTCCCCCGGTCTTGACCCATTGGCATAAATAAAACTAACCTACCCGCAACAAGTTAATAACTGAATAACCTTTGACCGTTTGTAACCTTTGTGGGGCTTGATTTCCACCAAAATCCAACATGGTGCAAAAAAGTTAACCCGTTATTTTCCACGGGCATGGCTCCGGTGTCAGCTAGCAGCTCAATGCGTCTCCCCTCGCAGACTCGGTCATCTCATTCTCGTCCAGATGAAGTTCAGGGGTCAAGCTGCTGATGTCGGCCACGAGGTCGACGCCGCAGGTCGCCACATCGGATCTGTTCGTCTCCTGCAGAGCAGCAGCCCTGTGGACTTGATGAAATCCAAAGTCGGGTGATGCACAAGTTCGCCCAGCAACTCGCCCAGCGACTTGCCAGACGCTCCATGGCGGGCGTTGGACTTTCAATGAACTACCTAGATCCTCCTGGTACCTCAGAAAATGGCTACAAGTACCTGTTTTTTTAATAGGGTCTTGTCCCATTTTCTGGAGTACTTTGGAAGGTCAAGGTACAGATACACTTTGGAGGATGCCTTGCCAAGCAGCATCAAACAGCCAAAGGTGTCAGAGCATTGGAGTCAAGGGGCGGAATCAGGGCCCTAGAAAGCAGCCAAGCAACCACCAGCTAAGATGATTCTCAATGTCGTGAGGCAAAAAAACATCGGCTGAGAATCCCACGGAGTACAATTGTTCCGTTTCTTTTGTAAATCAACTTATTATCCATTTATTCCCCAAACTTTGGACCCATCCAACATTCGATCAACTTGCATGGTGGGCATGTCATCTTTGCGACATCTGGAGCAGCTACGTACCATAAACTGGATCCAATCATCCAGCCGCAACGCACAGGACAGCCTGCAAGAGAAGCTGAACGCTTGGGGCCCTCAGACGCCTCCGAAAACGCGCCTCCGAGTGGTTGAGGTAATAGGTGGGGCATCAAACAATGACAAGTGACCCTCAGAGTTTGACGCCTGTCAGGCTATGTTTGTTTCGTTTTTGCACGCCCCAAAGTGTGCCAAAGTGATAGATATAGAAAGGAGTTCAATGCTCTTCAATGCTTAATGGGGATATGTTTTATGTGAGAATAGATCCAGCAAGTAAAGACCATGAGGTTGATTTTGGTAATCCTTGTGAATGTCACAGTCACTTTTGTCGGCATAGTCACAAGTCGGATTCATGAGCTGGACATAAGTCATTGTAGAATAACAAGCGCAGATGTTCAGCAAGATGTCCGCAGCCCAAGTACAAGTATCATGGAAAATCATAGATTGTGACAGGGCCTTGTTCGACTTGCAGGGTGTCCTGCCACGCGCATGCTCTGTGAAACCCAGCATAATACAAAATATTGCATTCCAATGCATTCCAGAGCATTCTGGTTGAATGCATCACGCACAGAATTGCGGCAGGGAATCACACCAGATCCCTGCTCGATATCCTTGGCCATATTCGCCGATGGAAGCGTAGTAGTGTGACACTTCAACATCCTTCAGACCATCTACTACACCAGCTCCACCATCCCTCAACAGCTTTGCAATCCAGACATGAACGTCAGAACGCTCAGTACGCTCCGCGCCTCCGTGCCTCCTGTTCTTCGATCTGTTTCACTCCCCTCCGCCGTTTTCACCGAGCTTCAGGCCCTTCTCGTCCCCCCTTTTCCGCGCGCGCCGAACTCGGGTTCTTCCGGCGTCAAGACCAGGCGACGCTGCACAAGAGCATCGCCTTCAACAGCGAGTTGTCCTTACCTGCGGGGGCCGGACCTCTAAGGCCTTCGGGGGGAAGGCTCAGGTCAAACCATTTCGGAGCATAGGTTGGAGGTGTGGCAGATGCCACCACCTTAGTGGCAGGTGTCAAGGTGGTTGGGAGGAGTGCGTCGTGCGTCAAAGTGGCAGGGCAGGTGTTTGGAGTTGAGTAGCGGAATGGTTTGAGTAGGCAGCCTCAGAGATTCTGTCGGTTTGGGGCTGCCTTGGAGTCCTGGAACACCTCTGAGTCCAACCCCGTGTTCAGTCAGTCACAAGACAATAAGTATATATCTTGGAGTGTGTTTCCTAACTACAAATACAATGGATGGGACAAGCACTTAGAAGAATGCTGAAGCCCTACGGATGGACCTTTTTCAGCTACATGCATTTGCCTTTAATACCTTGAAGCAGCATTGTGAGGTTTGTGATCGACTCGATGGCTCAAGTGCTGTAACTACAGGACGGATCCGGACGCACATGTCAGCTGCACACATGTCTGCTGATACCGCCGAAGCACCTGGATCGGTGAGTCAGAGCCGTTTTAAGCTACCCAGGAAGTCCGTGGGATCACCTGCCCAACCCCTTTTAGGGGGTTGGTTTCCCTACTCAAGTCATCTCAAGTCCAGGTGGAAAAGGGTTCTAATGGGCTATATAACCATAATATATCATAATGATTATGACCCTTTTTTTTCCAGGGAAACTGACGGGGTCAGTCTTACCCTGGTGTATATATCTAGGGATGTTACGGGATGTTTACTTAATCAGTTTTTTAGGCTTTTAGGTGGTTGCTGGGCTTGGGTTGTGACCCACGGGTACATTTAAAGGTAAAGAGTTCCCCACAGTAGCGGTTAGTTGAGTTTTATTTCTCCCCGAAAGAAAGGCGGGCACATCTATGCACATCTCCAAAAACCTTGGAGAACTGATTTATGCTACCCTTCCTAAAGAGACACTTGTACTCCGCAGGTTTGGGGCAATGGACCTCAGTGTTGTTGTTTGTCCACCTTCCCCACACTCTGATCTTGTTGCGACGACGCGTCATCATCATGCATCTTGAGCGATCTCGGGTTCCTCATTCAGCCGGGCTCGAGCTTGTGCGGCAGCATTTAAGATCGATTGATAATCTGATCGTTGCAGCATGGCGCAAGTAGAAGCACTCTACGATGCCTCCGAGCGCCATGCGTTGCAAAGCGTGGCGATGTCGAACAGCTATGACCGGGTGACGGAAGAGGCTACATTCCTGTCTTACCTTGGTAGGTTTCATGTTTGTGACGAGGCGGGTTGATTCGGAAGGTTGATTGAATCGTGGTGTATTGGGTTGTATCCTACAGGTTGAGTAAAATGAGCAGAGGATGGCAGCTTCTTTAATGATTTTGATGTTGGGGATGGGCACAGGAGCCAGAATTCTGCACCAGTACGTTCTTCCGTCCAATTCCTGCCAAACCCCCTGAACGTTGGGCTGTTCATCTGGGTTGCACAGAAAGGACTAAAGGCTCCTATGTTGCTTTTTCCTACTACTGTAACAGCCGGTAAACAATTATCACCACTTTTAGAGAAAACCCTGCAACATCCTGATCATCCTGCAACCTCACCCTCACCCTCACCCTCACCCTCACCCTCATCCTCATCCCCATCCCCATCCTCAGCCTCACCCTCACCCTCACCCTCACCCTCACCCTCGTCCTCGTCCTCGTCCTCATCCTCATCCTCATCCTCATCCTCATCCTCATCCTCATCCTC